TTTTTCTCAGCGATTGCTTGGGATTTCGACGAAGCCGAGATCTAACCCTTTTGATGTTGGCAGTGGTTGACACAGACTTCGGTCGACCTGATCGATGACGATCTTCTGTAGAGTTTGTCTCAAGGAACCGCTGAATTGTACGTTTGATGAAGTTCCGGTTGTAGCCATTGTTCTGGAGCAGTCGGAAAATCTCGGAGGGAGACTTCCCAGCTTCGTGCAAACTGATCACAGCCGACCGACGATCTTCATTGGACAATGGCATGACGAAACTGATAGTTTCATCAGCACTTTGAGAATCCCCTAAGTCGCGCGTACCTTAAGCTACGTGTATTGAAACCAAGCCAAGCATATATGAACGTGGTAGCTTAGAATCGAGAACAGTTTTTTAAAGTGTACAGAACTTTTGTGTCACCCTGTAGAGTATGCACGCTACTGTCCGCAACGTCTACACCCAGGAAAAAAATGTATGAGGCAAGACAGAGACTGACCTTGTCGCGTATGGTGGAGAGAAGAGATCTGTAGGTGAGAATCCGGAGTTGAGTAAAAAAAGAAACGGCGAAGCTGGGTACGTGTTCGTCCCCTTCCTCCTCCACTTCAAGCTTCTCCTCCAAGAGACCCATTTCCATGCGCGCCTTCATTTCTATGTCTTCCCTCTTCTCACCTCCTCCTAGTCCCGAAACATCAACACATCCTTCATACAAACTTCATCAAGGATTCCAGTATCCCATAAGCATTCCTCAAAAATCCGTTGCCCGCTTTCCAACGGGGTATCCAATTTTAGATGCTCAAAGAAAAATGTTATGGAATCTCAACTGTGTACAAAGATCGCCATAAGTTTGGCCTCGGTTCCTCAAGACTTTGTAGCGGAAACCGCCACAGTGGCAGGCTCTTACCTCGAACTCTGTCGGGTTGCGTGGAGTTCTGCCTCGACATCAAGGTGTTCTGACGACTTAACTTGCTACTGGTGCGGAAGAAGTCCTTGTTATGTTCCAGATCGTATTCGAGACACTTGCCATCTCTTGTGGCCTGGACCAATTGCTCCAACATTCCATGCTGAACCCCTGCCAACTCCAACACTGTTGTTCAAAGGGGATATATTTTTTTATACGATGACAACAAAACCTCGGGAAGGAAACTCGGGTACCGACCATCAGAAATGCAATTCAAACAGAGCCCCTTTGAATTTCTCTCTAGTCAGGTAAGCATGGAGGATCTCACAGGGTCCAATAAGGCCCTGTAGTCCTTTAAGAACATTCAAGGAATGTATCTTCATTTTCTACTCCCCGTCCTCTTACTAATCATTGCTTCTACCGAGTTGGGCCCAGTATTTTGTATAAGGATATTTTTTATCTTCCCTTACAAACATTTGGGGTGGGAAAAAAATAAAAACCAGACAAGGAAAGTTTCTTGATATTCATCCGTGAAAGATTTTCACTCAACACTCATTAAATGTCTCTCGCGACGGATTAGACACCTCGTCCACAAATTCCTGCTCATTAGATAGCACCGATGTCAGGGTGTTCAAAGAGTTTTGCTTTATTCTTATTTGTGTTTGTGAGGTCTAGCTCGGGTCGACTGGAAGGGGACTGTTTCCATAAGCCAGAGCGGAAATAAAAACTAAAAAACAGGTGAAAAAAGCTAACTAGAAAAAAAAAGGTTGCGTCGAAGCGTTTCAACACTCAACGCTGCATCCAATTATTCCAGGCTCGTTCACCGAATATATTCTTACACTGATTTCAATGCATAAGCTTTCTAAACGCGGACAACCTGTCTTTCTTCGTCTCTACGAAATCAGCTAAATAATCGCCCCTTATAATTTTTCATTTTTTCTTGGTACCCCACTCTCGAAAGAGACGTTGAGGAATGCTAGAATACCGACCACCCTTTAATAATCAATTCTATTTGATCTTTTCTCTATTTGTGCTCTTATGCAGGGAAGGACTGTATCATGAGCATGGACTGACCATAGTCGGCAGGGTTGTGATAGGGAGGGCAGTGAAGGTCGTGGGTTTCCCCCAGGTAGGGGACGAGGGATTTCACGGAACCGGCGTAGAAGCATCTGCCGTCCGCCAGTAGAATGAGTTGCGAGAACATCTCCAGGATTTTGGCACTTGGCTGATGGATAGTACAGATGATCGTCCTTCCTTCCTTTGCCAGAGTATTCAACAGATTGATGCACTGCTCGCACGACAAACTGTCCAGTCCACTAAAAAAAAAAAATAAGTTCACCTCAGCTGGTGATGGTGAACAGGGATGGCGAACAAAGACTTCCAATTGAACTTGCAATGGAATCCGTACGTGAATTAAAGGTGCAGTTGGACAAAAAAAGTTTACATTTGGAGCTCTTTACCAAAGAGATATTGAGGCACAAGGAATACAATTAACGTTCCTACTTCGAATCTAACGCTCTCATGATACAACAAATAAACACCTGTGAATAAGGCTCCGGCAAGATAAACAACAACTCTCTGGATCGTGAAGACCGAAACGGAAAGGTCTAGGCTGCCCGAAGCGGAGTACTTGCAAGGTAGAAGGAACATTTTGAGGAGCTTTGAAATCCATCCACGGCGAACTCTGATGTACCCAACTCTGAGCCAATCTGCGCGGAAGATAGTCTCACCGTGTAGGATGCTCAACAAGCTACGGCTAGCTTGACGAAAGGAAAGTTTCCTAGCGTGGACAAAATCCGGACAAAGCAACGGGTATCGATGGGTGCTTGTGTTAGCATGAGAAATTTCAAACTGGGAGTTGAGGACGGCACCTATTGATTGTAGTGTGGTGGTTCCTCTTTTTAGAGGGGGAGCCTCGAGGTAGTCTTCCAATCTCTGTGGAATCACTCCCCTCGGCATATCTGATAAGGTCTATGCAGAGATGCTTGAGAAGAGAACGCTTGCAGACGATGGATCTGCCATCCAAGTAGAGCAGTACGATTTCCGCGAAGGGCACAGCACCACCCACCAGCTCTTTACTCTTCATCGGATTCCCGAGAGAAATTAGGAACATGCAAAAGGAGGTTTACATGCGTAACTTCTTGGCATACAGATTTTCTTGTCGACTTCACACAGTCAATCCGTGAAAATGTGTCATAGCAGAGCACAAATGAAATGTAAAACTTACGAAGTGAAACCAAAATCAAAGTCAATCCGATTTCTCTGTATTTCCCCACTTGGGTTGCAACCATTGTGTAAGGTGCGTTGCATCCTGCTACAGTTTCCAACTCATTGGAAACTTTAAGGATGGTTGTAGTTGGAGTTTGCCAGAACGATTTGCATTCAGTACATTTCGAGTGCATTCCCCGCTACCCCAGGTATGGCTTATGCTAAAATTAATAATTCATATCTTCTATTTCTTTTAGTGTAACTGCGCAATGGAACCAGAAATGTTGACAGGGCATTGTTAATGGCAGGCATGTAGTCTCGCTCAGGAAGGTCAAGATCAGCCTTAACCCTTTCGTGCATGAATTTTTAAAGCAAAACACAAATATGCCATTTTTGATTTAACGCTGAAGGAAATACTCAGCCGTAATAGTCGCATGTTCCACCGCTCGAACCCAACACTGGAGAGATTGTGTGCCCTTGAGTTGACTGCATGCACCAAAAGTTTTGAGGTATGTGTACCAGGGCTGAAAACTAATACCATCGCCAAAAATGTTTGCCGTCCACTACAGTGGACACCATGCACGAAAGGGTTAACTTTGATTCAAGATTAAGTTCGGGTTAGGACACTAAGAGGCATTTCAGCCCATCACGACGTCCTGTGTTAAGGTCGAGCGTTCGTGTAGAATAAGATAGGTCTGCCACGTCTTGAAGATAGATTTTTTTTGGAACATGTCCACTTTTTTGCCAATTTATCTCATACGTACAAGGTAGCTACATGGCTACCATGTTTTTCTTTCTTTTGGTTTTTTCTTTCCCACGAATTCATATAGCTTCTTCTCGCTTCTTCTAGAAGGGTATCAACATGGAACGCATTCATGCATTTACTACCCAATAAGTAAATATGTGATTCCCCAACTCGAATCTCGCTTGGAATGCATGCCACTCAAATTGGTTCTCTCGCCTTCTGCTTCAACTATCGAGTTGGAAAAATCGATCACGTTCCACGCTATCGATTCCCTTAATGATCTTGAAAGCACGGATGAGGTTCTCATAACCTCACTTCGAGCGAGTATGGTCCGGACAATTCTAAACGCCTCTCACGTGGAAGGCCTCGTTCCTCTTCCCTTCTTTTTGCAGCCCGCCTTTGAACCCTCTCGAGTGCCGTTAGATCGCTTTCATTTCCCAGAATTGAAAGTAGTAATTTAAATGAGGTCTTGCCAGTACCGCAAAAACGAAAGAATAACAAGGAGCTCTCGCTGACAATGGAATGCCAGATGAAGACTAAAATCCCATTATATTTGTCCACTGTCGCCTGTGCGTGCGAAAACTCGATCGATCGCTAAGTCGTTCTCTCCGTTTATTCCTCCAGTTTGTCTTCGCCGAACGCATTCAGAGACCTATCGTTAGCATGACAGGGGGACTCCTACTTTTGCCGACTCTTCTCCATATGCAATTACTCTTTGCTCTCTTTCGTCGACCAGTTTACCCATCAGCTACCCACTCTACCACCGATCCCATGAGCCTCCAATTGCGCTGCTCGGTATCGAAAGCTTTTCGAGAAGTCGAAGTGGACGATGTCCTTGGGATTCCTTTCATTCATCTCTTCCACCTCGTCGTGGAAATCGAGCGGTAAGAAAAAGAAATTGGTAATATCCTCGAATGAACGAGTTTACCCCGAGGAATTCTTGGGTTCGATCGCTCATCGAATGGAAACCAATTTTAGCGTCCTTTCCGTGATCTTTCCCAGAATTCTCATGAGACTCACCGGCCTGTATTTGCTCGGGTTGCTCTCTTTCCCCTTCTTAAATATCAATACGACGTTCGCAAATTTCCACTCCGTTCAGTTAATATTTAATTTGAGATTAGTTGAAAATAGTTCTTGAGAAAGTGGAAATCAGCAGAAAAAAATCGGGAACGGAACTTATCGCGATGTCTCCAAATGCCCATTGAGAGGGTACACGAGATGAAACGTTTCTGACAACACTCCTACCATTTATCTTATCGCTCTAACGAGCTTTTCCTCGTAAAATTCCAAGGAACTTTTTGGATTGTTTACCAGAGTGGAGATCATAGTCAGAATGCTTCTACAGGGCGCTTTAAAGAAGTTCCCAATATGAAAAATGATTCCCTTGGGGTTGGGGTAATCATAGCTTTCCAACATATTCTATGTCCTTTTCATCGGAGCTATAGAGGGATTCCAAATTGAGGTTTGAAGGTGTCCCAAGAGCTTTTCCCAGAAAAGGTCATGGGAGAGAGACAGAGGGTTAACAAGGAACCGCCCCAAAACCTCGAGAGGTAAGCATCCTAGGCTGTTTCCGAAGTGCCTTCCTATCGATAAGAGGGCGTTTCTCATTTATTCACGTCCAGAACAAAGACCATGGCGGAGGCCGGAACTCAGAGCTCTTTACACCCAACCCTTGTGCCTTCAGTATGGACGATGAAAGAAAGAAAAAGGCACTGGCGGAAGCAGCAGGTTTCCCTTCCTATGCGAACAATGGATCATTGATTCGTCTACAAAGGAAAAATATTAAACAAAGGGTCACGTATGGTTCAACTGTCTAGAATTCATTGTTCTAGGGAAAAAGGGGATGAGCCAGGATTCATCGTTGAAACATGATGGCGCTGGTCATACATGACGCATATACGAGACGTAGGAAATCATCACATAGCTGCTAATAGAAAACATTTCCTCGTCCTCTTATGTTTTGGATAAGTAGTCGTGCATGAGCACGCGTTGACAAACAGCAGATCAGCCGGCAGAAGGAAAAAGAACAAAAAAAAAACAAAAGGGAATCCGATGTCTTGCCGTTTAGTGATAAATGAACAGAGGCGATATCGTGAAGGCTTTCATTTTATTTGAAGGAGTGCCTCTGTAATGATGCAATATTACGCATATTTTCGCCTTCTATACCATCACCTGATCGGAGATATTCCTCAATGAAGCCAATTATTCCCAGGGATTGGGATAAAGATGGCATTCTTGCCAATTCATCGCTTTGCAAGGTCTGATCCAACTGGGAAGGCGACTGGGAAGCAAAATTGAGTAAACGGCATCATGCATTTTCGACTGTTGACATCATTATCCACGCTATAGGAATTTTCCACGCATCGATCGACCTTACGATCAGCCAGCAGCTAAAGTCACAAAACAGACGTTCATTCATCACAGTTAACAGTTGCCATTGGGTTTTTGTCCCCCCCCCCCC